TAGTAGGAAAAGAGTGAAGTTGGAAGAATAGTGTAGTCAGTAAACAACAAACTATTTATTACTGAAATATTCTTCATTAATAAAACGCATACATTGGCAGGAATCACTGAACCTGAGTTTCATGTTTATTGTGACCTGTCAGAAAGGCATATCTACAATCTGGAATGGACAGTTGTCCCCTCATAGGTTTGAACCCGTGTCACATAGTCAGTGATACAGTTGAAGAAGTTACCACTAAGCTATTCGGGCTCACCGACTGACCTACGATTGAACTGTAATGGATACATTAATTGGTCACCAGAGAGTAAGCAATGTCACCTATCTATTCTTTAGTGTTGGCAATTACTGGATTCTACCATTCACTTTTGCCATACTATCAACGATCAATAGTTCACCAGTAACATGTGTGACTGAAGCACTGGATAATACGAGCTTGATTCACCAGCGGTGCAGTTACGCCTTGTTGACTACCGTGAAAGCTAAGTTCAGAGCTTCTGACTGACTGACACCCACCACCGAAAATTAAACTGCCATTTGGAAGCCTTATTTTCTTAAGGTTTCACGCCACAGTCACCCAGAGCAGGAGTGAGACAATATGACTAAGCATCTCAAAACAAAACTGATACGGGCTACGATTCCTAACATGTAATTAATAAGAAGGTAGGTTATTTAGCCGGATCTCTGTATTGTTTGACTAATAAATAGACTTCGACCAGTGACCCACCGGGTGTCATTGGAGCAGCCTATTCAATTCATGATATCTGTGACACTGAAAATTCTCCTCCTTGAGAAGAAGACAGATGACAGTCAGTCAAATGTTAATGTCTAAGACAGCTCCATTCAACTGTATTTCAATTCAACGCTTTGGGTGTTCTATCGCTTCTTCTGATCTTGCTTGACTTGCTTTAAACTGGTTTTTGTTAACACAGTATCTGAGCCAGAAAAGCTCACAGATCATCTCATTCAATAAAATTAAGTACTCACAAAACTTTAAAAGAAGCAAACTACTCCTTATGAAAAGTGAAAAGAAGATTTTGTTCATTTCGTCATACCTAGATGCATAGATTACTAAGGAGTAAAATAAATTCACTTTTATACGTAAATACACTATACATTCACAGCATGCGATGAGAAATTGATTGTTTTCCATTGAATACTCTTCTGTATCGGATCAACAAATACATTCATTAGAGAATCGCCTCGAGATTATCACTATTATTATTCACCTGTGTCCCGAGTGGAACAAAGGGCTTCAACAACACATCTCCACATTGCTCTGTTTTCTACCGTCCTCTTCACCTGGGTACACTGTCGCCAATAATCTCTCATCTCGTCCTCGCCACACGATCTCCTCCATGTCACCCTCTCACTGACGACCCACCCGCCTCCTTCAATTCGGATGCCAATCGAGAGATGGCCTTCATTGAGCGTGATGTTATTCGATGGCCTCCTCAGTAGTGTATGCCTGATCCACCTCCATTTTCTCCTACATATTTGTTGTACAGTCGGCTATTGGTTGGTTTGTTCCCAGCCAGAGTTTCTTGTTGCTAATTCTTCCTGGCTGATCAGCCATCTGATGTTCAGTATGGAGCAGCCAGCGACGGTGGCAGCTGTTGATAAGAGTCTGCAACTGGCTGTTGGAAATGCTTTTCATGACACGCAGTGCAATCTTCTGAGCAGAATAGAAGAACTGACTGACTGACTGATTTCACATTGGTGGTGAAAATCCGAATCTTGTTCTCTATGCTGAGTGAGTGCAGAAGATTTCCAAACTGGTTTCAGATCGATGAAGGCGCATCTTGCCATTCCGATTCTGGCTGGTTTTGACATCTTCATCCATTCAGAGTGTCTGTGGTCGAAACTGGGCTTCCTGGCTGGATAAGTGAGGGAGAGAGTAACCTCTGTCAAATCTCTCCCGTTGATGGTGATTGGTGCTGGTCGTTGTTGCTGTTAGTGCTGTTGTTCGCTTACCTCAACCACCTCCGTCTTCTCTATGTTCACCCGGAGTCCTGTCTTCACCGCCTGCTTCTTCAGCCAATTTGTTACTTTCCACCTGCAAGTCTTCGAGTTAACGCGACGTTAAACATGAATCATACACGCGTGAAATCCAGATCTTGTAGAGTCTTCTTATTGGCGGTCCAACGTATTCCTGTCTTCTCAAACTCGTCGCACATTCTGACGCATAATCTGATCCACCACAATTAAGAATATCGCCGGTGATAATAGGCAGTCAGGTACTCTTACTCCTGCATTCACTTCAAACGCCTGACTGAGTGGGTTTTCCGCTGTGGATCAGCTGACTGACACTTGACATTGTCATATAGCCAGCTGATGAATGGAGTTGATAAAGATTTGTGCACTGCATGCCGTAGTGTTGAAGTAGTTTCCAAATTACTTCTCGGTCAACACTGTCTGTCGAAGGCCCTATAGAAGTAGATGAATTTGAGGTAGAGTGTTGACTGGCATTCTGTGCTTTGGTTGCTCATGCCCCCTAGTGTGATACAGAAAATTACACTGAGAGAATTTTGAGAGCGAGTACTTTTTAATGCAATGAAATTGAACGGTCAAGTCGCGAATCTATTCACATAGATATCAATTTAACTTCACAAGCATTTCTGTATGCATGTTCTGATTGTTTTCATAGGAAATCTCATTGATTTCATATTTGGTACGGTCTTCTTTATAATTTCTGTAGAAAGTGTGTATAATCCATCTTGTGAAATTATTCTCTATAAGATACAGTCTAGCAGATAATTTCTTGTCAGAAAGGATTTGTGAGAGATGTTCATCGTTTTGGTCAGCGTCATATGATTATTCATTTGAAATGCCTGATTATTCATTTTCGTAAACGCGGTGTCAAGTGAATACTCATCGATGTTATTGATTGGCAGTAGCATTATTCTGCGAAATGATGAAGGTCATAACTCATACTTCATTGGATTCACGAGCGGTAAGAATAACGATGAGGTGCTCTGCTCCTAGACTGGAGATCCTAGGTTCGGTCTGTGGTGAGGTAATGGGTGCGCACTGTTGGAAGGTCCCAGACTAGGACGAAACCACTGTCTAGCGATCCATGAAGTCGGTTAATCACAAAATCTTCGTTGAAGAACGTGACTAACGATCTGTTGCATTACTTCATGTGTATTTTATCACCAAAACCCTGCTGAGAACTCTATTATGTGAACATATTTTCTGATGGAGCGAATGGAATTTGGATGACAAAATGAGATTATTTAGCTGTTGAGACAGTGTCCTATTATGCAGCCTCTGAAATAAATATCACTAATGAAAGGCTGCAATATAAATTGTTTGATAATTATCGCGAATAAACGCAGACCGGAAGTGAAATTTATCTGAATGACTCCTCGTAATTGATTACACTTACACGAAGCACCAAAAATATCTCAAATTTAGACAGTTTCAATCAACTTTTATATTTCACGGAATCTTCTTTTATCTTAGAATACTAATAAGACTGTTTAAAATCTTTTTAGCTGCTCTTACGGGAATACCATCACTTACAGGGAGGCAGTTGTGTCCAACAAATGTGTCCCGAATAGAATTGAATGTGCGTCTTCGGTTCCACTGTTAGACACCATCAACAAAATGACTTCTTATTAATCTTCAGACACTGTCGAAGGGTCCTTACTAGAAGTCAACATTTCACCAGGCATCAGCTACTTCGTACTAATAACATTTGACAAAAAATACACAATGAAATAAAAACAGGAACAAATTTAGTCTTTTTTACCTACAGTTGTTGACAATGTTTTGTCTGTTGAAGTGGTCATTACTCGTCTGCCAGAATTGAAACACATGCGTTTGGTGAGTGAATAAAAATTCATATTCAACATTTCAGTCATAATATAACAGCGGAACACATTAGTATTCAGTAAGAGAACTGTTTGTTTGGAGAAATGATGTACAATGATGGTAGAATGCCAAAAGCCTACATTGGAGTTTTCCATACTCTGAAATCTTTTCAAAGAGTTGTATGTTTATCTTCTGTTGATTGATCGAATTCTAACCAGTATTCATTGAAGGAAAGAATTATCGTTGACAGTGAAAATTTTCCGTTATTCTGAAAGCACTTCATGGTATTTATTTCAAGTTTGATGATCATGAATTGATTCCATACAGAGAACCAGTGAAAACCAGATTGTACTCGATAGCTTTGTCCTTCTAATTTAGAGCCCTTCGGTAATAGACACGCATGACCCAATCGGGGATTGAACCCGTGACCTTGAGGTTACGAGACGAGTGCGTTGACAACTGGACATCTGGAACGGGGACCAGTGGCCAGTCAGTGAATTCAAAATTCCGTCAATTTGCAATATATTGTACAACTGGCAGTCTGTGTTATTGGTGAGCATTCGTCCTCAAACACGATATGGTGGACCTGATTGGTCACCACTTCACTCAAGAACGAAAGGAGTCTTCCCTCTGTGGTCAGTCACTAGTAGGCATCAGATGAAATTCACATTAACTGAATTAAAAACCACTGAAAGCCTTGTAATATACACTTTCACTGGTTACCGGAGTGCAACCAATGTCATGTGTCTAGTTTTAAGTTTTAAAGCTATTCACTTCTATCACCACTGGCCACGTGTGCAGTGTATGGTGAGTCTTCATCGCCATGCACTTTGAATGGATGTCGGATGATTGAAAGCAGGTTGGTTGGAAGTTGTAGGCTGATGTTTCGAGGTTGCTGGCACTCGTCAACAATGCGTACCTTCAACAATGAGGGAACTGGTGGTGTGAGATCAAAAGTATTTCGTATCCTGAACTCTAACAAGACGAACGGGACATTACAACGCGTAACATTAAACACCCGGAAAAGAACTGTAGTGCCGTTATGCTCCTCAGCCTGATGTCTGCTTAGGATAACACCAATAGATTGTAACCAATACCACTTACAAATCCTGCTGAGCTCTCCGTGAATAAATATTAAAATTCATGCAGTTAATACCACAGAGAAATTCATTTTGAATTACAAATTAAACCAGTTTGTTATTGACACTAAATCAATACCAACACTTCTAGTTAACGCACACACATACATACCTACCTACCTACACACACACACACATGCATACATACACACACAGAAACTAAACGCAACTTGAAAATTGGATCTCTAATTTAATAATCGCAATTAAAGGAAGAGGACGATAAGGAGGATTTGGCACACAATAGTAATAATGGTGACATTGTTTCGTTGAAATAAATTCTGTAAGTAATTAAGAATAAGTTAATATTCTTATTCACGATTAATAAACAGATTGAATATTGAAGAGAAGAATGTCAGAATGTATGTGAGTCGGAATTAAAATTAAATTGAATTTGTGTGTGTGTGTGTGTGCGTTTTTGTGCTTGAACTTTGTTAAATTTATTGTGATTTGATTGATTTCGCGGTAGATTCTGTCATAAATCTAAATTATGGGAAAACTATTACAGACAAAACCGCATAGTAAATGGTCTTCCGTCCTGTATTTGTGAGTTTGGGGTGACCCGAACAATGACGCCAGTGGTCGAACCCAGCCGCTTTTTGACCTATGAGGTGAGCATTTAACCAGGAAGACCATGGATTGAAATTCAGTGGCATGAGTGTACGTTGTAGAAGAGTCTCACTCTTCCAAAGGCCCTTCTATTCTCTCTGATTCTGCAAACGATTTCAGCTCATTGTATAATCCACTCACAAATGATGCATAACCGAGTTCTAAAAAGTTCACTATTGTTAGTCGAGCACGAAGTAATTCAATTACATTTGCAGACACATGTAACTGTTTACTGCAAAAGGTTTCAGAACCTGAGTCTAAGATCTTGTGTCTTTCACTCAGTATCAGCCACTAATCCATATTGAATATTCTTTGAAAGGATAAAAGGTTTCTTCAAATTTTACACTGAACAATATCATAAATTGAACTGGTTAGTTACTTGAGAGTCGCCAATGTTCCTGGTACTTGTTAATACGGCGTATCTGCGACTTCTCTAGTGTCTAGAAGCCACGTCACCAAGTGGCACAATCTGAGCTTCCTGAACTCATATAAATCCTCCTTAAACTTCATTGCTTCGAAACAAAGCATTTACCTCCCTTAGTGCCTTTTTTCGTTAATATGACTCCACTTCTGCAAACTCAGTTACCACGTGACAAAGATATCCCCTTTGCACACTGTAAATAATATACATATATCTATCTATCCTTTGAGATAGTTACCCACTTCTAGAATACATCACCCATAGACGTCGATTCCGCTATACTCGTGACATTGGTACTACTGATTTAAGCATAATTATAGTTGGTCATCGTGAATTTTCGCCGTAGTAAATACCTCTGTCTCTCTAAAATGCAGTAATGCAGAAAGAGCATATAATAGATTTCAGTTTATAGATCAATAGATTCATAGGAAGCAATTTCTCTTTCATTTTTCAAGTTATTTTCATATTCATTGAGGTTGAAGTAAGTGTGAGTGTAAATCATTATGTTTCTTGTTGATAATATTCCACTTGCAACTCAATATTTTGTGCTGTTAGATTCGCGATTCATATTAAGGATAAATGATCGAAGTAACATATGCTTACTTAATATAAATAAGTAGTAAGAACGTAGAAATAAAAGTATATACCGTGTCTAGAATATAAGACACGGAGGGTGGGTTGGGCTGGTGTGGGGTGGGGTGGGGTGGGGTGAGGGCGGAATTCCACATCAGATAACATTATTTGATGTAAGACGCACTGATACAGTATGATTAACTTGATGGAATTCTGGGCATAATTTACTCCTCATAATTGAACCAGTGTAAAGTGTTTCGTTGGAAATATTAAGAGAATTATTAGGTAACGACTTAAATATTACTCATTAGTTTGGTGTTCAAGAATATCCGAGATGTGCAGCTTGTAGTTGGAGAATATCCTCATAGATGTATTGTGACCATTAAACATAGGTGTTTTGACAATGCGTTACCTCCCGAAATCTGAAGCTATGTCACTTGAGAATCATATGAACGGTAATTAAAGGAAAACTGAGCTTACTCGGGATTGATAATGTAGTCCAGTTTTACGCTTCAGTCCTAAATACTCGCAATGCTTAAAATACTAGAAGTTCTCCAGTGGATGGTGACTATCAGTGGAATACAGGATGTGGATTTCGCCCTACTGGAGAGTCGTCGTTTTTATATATTCAAAAATTCCCGGTCGGTGATTGTATTCACACCAAGTCTCGGAACCACCACCCACCGTTTCAGGTGCGAAAGTACTATTCACTAGGCAACTTGGGTCAGTAGTTCAGTGAGAACACCACAAATTACTGGGAATTTCAAGGGCATCCATGTGACGAGTCCCAGGATGAACAGGATGAAATGAGAATCCTTGATCCCACTGCTAATCACCATCCACCAAATAACCTGATGTTGCTCCTCAAACGTCTTCACACTAGAAGCTGAAATGACAACAGAGACAGAATTTTTCAGTCTAATATGCAAAATCAACTACAAAATATGTTAGGAGTTTACTCAAAGGTAGTGCAGATGCACCACAGATTTCATGGCTATTGGTAATTCTTAGTATCATGTATTTTTAACCAACCATGCACCTTATGAGTTTCTCGTATTTAGAAGGGAGAATCAATACAATTAAAGGACATGGAGCTCTGCTAGTTTAAACACGTTCAACGAACTAAAACAAAAGATGGAAGAATGGAATATTATTATTCAATTCGGCCACATATCATATAAAATTGGTATTTTGAATGTGTCTTTAGAACTTCCACACTGGTTGTCTTGAAATTATTTTTATCGGTAGAATATATGCAAAACATTGAGGAATGTGAGATGTGTGTAAGATACTTGGTTTGGGTGGGGTGCACAGCCACTGCACCCAGTGGAACACAAGTTGTCATCATAACTGAAACTGTGAACGAGCAGTGGAACGCGACCAAACTATCCACATCCAATCATGAGATTTTCAACTGTACTGACTTTAATATACATTCTTGCAGCTCGAGTTGCAACAGCTTCTGGTATCAGATTTGGTCTCCAAATTGTACACTTTAAGGGAGTTAAGTTAATGTCCATTGAATTACAGAGCCGTAAATGATTGAGTGTGGTTTGTTCGGTTCTGTATGAATTCATTTGTTGAAGTAGACTGAGACTACCTCATAAGACTAAAATGCTGTGTGCTATGAGTTACAAATCTGAGGATTTGTCAGCTTTCTCTTGATTACACAGGAAGGTAGGCGATTGAGATCACTTATGGTATCTCATTGAATACTACCCTATTGAAGCCATTTATTCAACTAACTAAAAGAAAAGAAGGCGTTCAGCGAAGAGACTCTTTTCGGCGAATTCATTCACTTAGCTGTACAATCGCATATTTATACAATTTTGTTTGTGTGTGTGTACATTAGATTTATAAAGTTTAGATAATTATGTAATATAAGTAATTTTTGGCTTGGAAACAAACGTTAAGATGGAAAATAAAATAGAATTGATTAAGTGAGTAGAATTCAGATGAGGTCGGGTTGGAAACAGTGTTAATAAGTGGTGTTTAAAATCAAGTAAGGGTGGGGTTAGAGAATAATACAGTTGAAAATAAGTAAGTTAATCGGATGACGTAACTCAGTTGACTAGAAATTGGACGTGGGTCAAGTTAGTAACATTGTTAATGAGGGTAGAGATTACAAAAGGGTGGGGTAGAGAATAATATAAGTGAAGATGTGAAATAATAAAATGCAAGAGACAAAATAATACAATTAGTAAGACTGAAATTAAGAAAGATTACGTCCATTGTAGATTTAATGAATGAACGAATTTCTTTTGTATGCAAAGTTCAGGATTTAGCAGATGAATTGCCATTGCTTCTGCGATGTGGAGAAGTTTGATCCGTACACTTTTAGCAAGATTGCCTTGTATTCTGTAGATAACTTTGAAGTTTATTTCTGGTTTGACTTGGTGTCCAGAGTCGATCAAATGTTCAAGGATCGAGCTGCGGGGGCATCGGTTTTCTCCTTTATAAAACCATGAAGGTAAATGTTCGTTGACGCGTTTGGATAGCGAACGCTGAGTACGGCCGATATACCTGGCTCCACACTAACTAAACTGTAAGGAAATATAAAAATTACAAAGCCACCCAGTTCGTCAAAACATGAAGTCACATTTCTAGCCGATTTTTCGCGTTACCAACTAAAAGCGGTTTCATAGCAGACACTTATTCTCACAACCAAAAGCATAACAGATTTACCAATAATAATATTTTGCACTTGATAAGCTTGTGAAGAATGAAGCTGTTTCAATTCGATGTTTTTCATGAATCTACATTAGTAAGGTTTCTATTGGAAACCAGAAAAGCTGGATCAATATCAGGTTTTATTTCCAGATGCCATAGCAGAGTAAATACACGAATGACTCCAAGAAGGACTGAGTACAAGGATTCGAAACTTTCCACGACAAATGATGACCGTTGCGAACGGTTTTCCACTCCTTGAATCACAAGTGGAAAATAGGATTGTACGCATTGAAATTTCAGTATTTGTGGTGTTTCCAGCATCACACCCAACTCTTCCCCTTTTCTAGACTTGTAAACTAGGTGAGGTTTAGGACTGGGTCAGCCGTTAGTAGCACTCAGACTTCCCAAGTGGTTGACAAGTGTCCTACTTCTGACCTAACAACGCACTGGGGAAATTAAGGCACATCTGGATTTTACTGATAATGCGGCGAATGTCAAGCACTGGACAATAATGCTTCAGTGGTTCGACAGTAGCAGAACGGTTTCTAAAACTCTCTTATATAACACTACTCACATATCACTGGTGGACATTGTCGCTAGGCCTCATCCTTCACTGAAACAATTTTACAGGTCTTCTGGATTTTTATTGGCTTTCCAATTGCTTTTAATTCATTATAAAACCCACCTTCGAAATGAAAACAACTGGTACAGCTATATTATCACAGAGATAGTGCGATTGTTAGACTAGTGAACTCTCACATGCGAAGGATATGCAATGAAATATATGTGTGAAATATAATCACGAAGTATACATTTAACTGTACTAAGTATACAAATAGATGTATTAGTTTGTATTAATGCCTAAAATTGTAAGTTGGTCTGCAAATGTTTTCTGCAAAATATAGCCCTTATTATTTCTCTGTACACAGCTGGTAGGATAGAACTTGTATTAGTTCTTTGTAGTTCTGTAAACAGTGTAATCAACCATAGCCGAGGAACCGCTCCCATCG